TCTTTAATATTGTTTATTTACTGTCTTAGTTGTGTGTGGTGTTTAATTTACTTTTTGTTGTTCTTTGTTTTATTTATTTTTTATTCAAGTGCATTTTTTGTTAGAGACTGCGAGTCCACTTTGTTAAACATTCTTTTAAAAATGAAAGTTTATTGATTTATTACACTTACACATTACGCTTTTATAATTATTAGTTGTAAAACGGTCACCAGGCAATATTATCGCTTATCGCAATAAATTTTGAGACARTTAATCGCCCAGCAAAATTTGTTATCGTGACAGGCCTAATAAATAACATTAGATTTATCATCATGTTGTATGGAGACTCCACTTCAAGATATCTTAAATGTATCTTTGGATATGAGATTCATTATATACGATTTAATTAATACAAATTTCAGACTTTTTCATGTTCTGTAAATTGTATTTAAAACAAAGCTGCTGCTGTTGATCATTCTGTTTTATAAACCCCACCCCCAAGGCCAATACTCTAGGGAAACACTTTTTTGAAGATGTTCTTGATAATACAATTGCCTGTTAGTAACTCAGTCTAAAATGTTTGCATCTGTTTAATCAGATGTCATATATTATATACCTCTGTATAACCATGTTAATATTTTTGTAGTACGAAGTACAGTAAAAGTTTTTCTTATTTTATCAAAATTTCAACATTTTTGTTTCGGGCAGGTAACTTTTCATGTCGGGCAGGTAACATTTGTTGTCACCTGCCTGACAGGGCAGGTAAAAAAAAATAAAATTTTGTCAAACCCTGGTTCTGCTGTAAGTGCACCTCTGTGTTTCTTGTCTGCACTGTGCTACTTTACAGTTATTGGTTTGCTGAGATTATTTTGCACTGAAAACAGGCAAATTCTGATTCCTAATGTCGGATTCTGATTGTCCACTGTCTCTAAAACTAAACATATCTTTTTTTCTATTCTTGCACAATTCTTTATATTTTTTATTATTAGTAGTCGTACCATTGCTAGTCAGTGCTAATTTTTGTTTAGTGTCTATAGTTTGTAAAAGTAACTAGTGTGAACCTCTGTACTGATGCTGCTGTGACACCTGAATTTCCACTCTGCGTGACAATAAAGGCTATTTCTGTTCTATTCTATTAACATGTGCCACCCTGCTTTTAAAGGGACCAAAAGTAATTGGACAATTGACTCAATGACTATATCAGGGGTTTCCAAACTATTTTTTATTAAGAGCTACTTTCACGAAATGAAATTGTCCAAGAGCTACTTTTTGCATCTTTTAATTTTAAACTTAAACTCAAAACATTGAAATAAGCTTGTTTTGCTTGAACATTCACAAAAAACATTGTCTTCAACTCACATGAAACCACCACAAAGAACACTGAATTAACATGAATGTGCTTTTTGTGTTTATTTATTCATATTATAGTATATTTCACACTACGAACTCAGGGTTTAACCGGGACAGATTTGTGCACAAATGTTGGGTGACGGGTCTCAGACATTTTTCCCATCACAGACTCCAGCGAGAAGAAACCCCAGGCAGTGACGTATATTAATAAGAATAAGAATAAGTCAACTAAGCTTGTGCTCCACCAGGTGAAGGTGTGGTCCCAGGAAAAGATGGAGGAGTTGAGCTCATGCTTCCTTAGTACAAACTGGGAAATATTTTTCTGGGTGCCCTCAGAAGACAACAGTGGTGGATGATGGCAGAATAATCTCAATTGTGAAGAGAAACCCCTTCACAACAGCCAACCAAGTGAACAACAGGAGGTAGAAGTATCAATATCCAAATCTACCATAAAGAGAAGACTGCATGAAAGTAAATACAGAGGGTTCACTGCACACTGAAAGACACTCATAAGCATCAAGAATAAAAAGGATAGAATGGACTTTGCTAAAAAATGTAAAAAAGCCAGCAGAGTTCTGGAAGAACATTCTTTGGACAGATGAAACCAAGATCAACCTCTACCACAATGATGGAAAGAGAAAAGTCTGGTGAAGGCGTGGTACAGCTCATGATCCAAAGCACCACATCATTTGTAAAACACAGCAGAGCAGTGTGATGGCTTGGGCATGCATGGTTGCCAGTGGCACTAGGTCACTAGTGTTTATTGATGATGTGACACAAGACAGAAGCAGCCGAATGAATTCTGAGGTATTCAGAGCCATACTGTGTGCTCGGATCCAGCCAAATGCAGCCAAACTGATTGGTCTGTGTTTCATACTACAGATGGACAATGACCCAAAACATAAAGCCAAAGCAACCCAGGAGTTTATTAAAGCAAAGAAGTGGAATATTCTTGAACGGCCAAGTCAGTCACCTGATTTCAACCCAATTGAGCATTTCACTTGTTAAAGACTAAACTTCAGACAGAAAGGCCCACAAACAAACAGCAACAGAAAACTGCTGCAGTGAAGGCCTGCACAGCATTAAAAAGGAGGAAACACAGCATCTGGTGATGTCCATGAGTTCAAGACTTCAGCCAGTCATTGCCAACAAAGAGTTTTAAACGAAGTACTAGAAATGAACATTAACAATTAATTTGTCCAATTCCTTTTAAGCCCCTAAATTAAAGAGATTGCTTTAAAAAATGCTTTATAGTTAAATTAATTGTAGTAATGTACATATGTATACAAACAGATATGGACCTAACTGTATGTGTGTGTGTGTGTGTGTGTGTGTGTGTGTGTGTGTGTGTGTG